TACATAATGAAAGATAGGACATTTCAAGCTTCTTCGTGACAAAGGGAAAAAACCGTTTTTAACCGACAACCGAAAAAAACCTCCCCTTCAGATCAGGTGAAACGACAGATTTGATATCAATTCTGAAATGTAGGTAAACATACATGTAGATAAACATACAGCGATGCAAATTCTTAAGCCTTAAACTCCTAGAAGTGATATAACTTGTTACTTATCCCTGTAATATCAATACATTATCCAGCAAACAGGCAATGATAATACTCAAAGTTTTATTTGGTAGAATTCGTTCTCTTTAAACTAACACCAAAATTCTGTATCTACTTTGAAATGAAACATGTAGCCGCTAGAGGGGAGAATTAACAATTAGATCACAGGAGTTAAAGGTTTAGCTGTACGTGATGATTATGCTGCAGAAGTGCGTGATGAGCATGTGACAAAGCTAGATAACGTGCTGTATATAATTATAGCTCTCGTCAAAATCAAAACCAGCAAATATCTCTCGGAAACGAACGAAAATTGAAACAAAACTCGAGGTTAAAATAAAAAGATGCAAAAAAAAAAACCACAATCCCTAAGTTTCTTTTGATACCGCATCACTCGCGATATATAGTAATAATCACGGTAAGATGGTTGTCACTTTCCAAAACGTAACATTTCCACCGCACGCTGTGAATGTACCATTTATATCATCGCATCGCGCGGAATGCCTGGAGATCATTAATTATTCATCAGTACTGAAGCTGGAGACTGAATGCACTCGCACCTTGAAAAGCCCATAATTAGAGAAGAAAGGGCCGAAACTAGCCGTAGTAGCGTTCATAGAATTCGGTTTTTCAATTGCCAGAAGCCATAAGTGGGAAACCCAAGAGCGGGTTTTTGAAGAGGAAGGGTTTTTCTTTAATTTAAGCTTAAAAAGGGGAAGTTTGAGAAAGTATAAAGACTATTCCTGAGCCTTTGAAAATGATGAAAAAACGCACACTTTTAGTATGAAGGCCGACTTCAAAAGTGATTTTTCAAAAACTCAAACCGGCTCACAAAAACTCAATAATTTCTTGTTTTATAAACATATTTCCAGTATTCTGAGATCAAACAATTATAATTTCACATTTTATAAACATATTTGCCATATTCTGAGGTCAAACAATAAGAATTTCTTGTTTCATAAACATGTTTGCTGTACAATAACAATTGTTTGTTTCCTCAAAACTTTTAAAGGGTTGCAAGTTAGTTTGACCTTAGATTAGCTATTGCAGTTACCTTAGAAATAAGATCAGGTTTCTTTGGTTTTTTGAAAAGCTTGCTTTACCATCACTGTTATCCATGGCATGGATAACAGTGATGGTAAGGCAAGCTTAAAACGGCAGAAATCGCCAGAAACTACGACGGATACACAGGGCATGAGTAAGTTTTATTGATTTTACGCGTAAAATATTCATATCTCGAAATATTTATCGTTGTAAATCGACCATATTTCGTTCCCCATACTATTCCTTATAACGTGTTCAAATTTTCAACGGTTCCTCCCGTAACTTAACACCGAGTCACACAACGCGTGACGCGTTCATGAATTCATCGTTGGCTTTTTCTCGAGACGTGGGCTTGGGCCGCCTGTGTCTCAACTAATCCATTTTTGGAAAGGAACTTCGACTACAAATTTTAAAACTGCGAGGAATAGTGGTTGTCGTTCACCAATCTTCCAAGTTAAAACAGATTCTGTTTCAGGAAAGATCCATCTTCTATTTCCCGCTCTTGGGTTTTTGGAAGCCGGTTTGAGTTTTTGAAAAATCGCTTTTGAAATCGGCCTTCATACTTAAAATGTCAGTTTTTCCTCATTTTCAAAGGCTCAGGAATAGTCCTTATACTTTCTCAAACTGCCTCTTTTAAGCTTAAATAAAAGATTAACCTTTTCTCTTCAAAAACCCGCTCTTGGGTTTGTCAATTATTGCTTCTGGAAATTGGAAAACCGAATTCTATGAACGCTACTAAGCTAGTTTCGGCCCTCTCTTCTCTAATTATGGGCTTTTCAAGGCGCGAGTGCATTCAATCTCCCGCTTCGGTGCTGATGAATAATTAATGCTGTCCAGGCATTCTGCGCGATGCGATGATAGAAATGGTACCTTTACAGCGTGCGGTGGAGATGTCACGTTTTGGAAAGTGACAGCCATATTTCCGTGATTATTACTATATCTGAGTGATACGGTATCGAAAGAAACTTAGGGATTGTGTTTTTTTTTTTTTTTGCATCTCTTTATTTTAACCTCGGGTTTTGTTTCAATCTTCGTTTGTTTCCGAGAGATAATAGCTGGTTTTGATATTGACGAGGGCTGTAATTATATACAGCACGTTATCTAGCTTTGTCACATGCTCATAACGTGCTTCTGCCGCATAATCATCACGCACAGTTAAACCTTTAACTCCAGTGATCTAATTGTTAATTCTCCCCTCTAGCTGATACATGTTTCCTTTCAAAGAAGGTACAGAAATTTGGTGTTAGTTCAAAGATAACGAATTCTGCCTGATAAAACTTTGAGTATTCTCATTACCTGTTTGCTGGATAATGTATTGATATTACAAGAATAAGTTACAAGTTATATCACCTCTAGGAGTTTAAGGCTTTAGGAAATTGCATCGCTGCATGTTTATCTACATGTATGTTAATCTGCATTTCAGAATTGATATCAAATCTTTCGTTTCACCTGATCTGAAGGGGAGGTTTTTTTCGGTTGTCGGTTAAAAATGTTCTTTTCCCTTTGTCACGAAGAAGCTTGAAATGTCCTATCTTTCATTATGTATTTTAAGACATGAAACTTTCGACATTGATGATCTTAGCAGTATGCAGGATGATCCTTTATGTATCCATTGTATGTCATGGCTCATTAACAAGAAATCTATAGCTATGTGGGTAAACTTCAGATTGTAAAATCCGATGGTCTAAAATTCGAATCCTTGAGAGGAAAGTGAAGGGCTCCCATCCCGCGTTCGTGACGAGTGAATAAGATTGATATTTCTTTTATTTTTGTCTCATGTTTCAAATTATTTCTATTTGTATCTTTAGTCAACACTCGTTTATCTCATGCACTGCATTAGGTCGCTATTAACTTATTCTGTCCTCACCTTAACTCCTGTGAAA